TCCTCCTCCTCCTCCTCGTAGACGTAAGCAGCACGGATAAACCCATGTTAGCCCCGCAGCCAACGGTTCTCAGCCCACAGAAAAGGAGCAGTTCCGTGTACAAAAACTACAATTACACTAGCCCTGTTGACTTCGTCTCCACTCTCGTTGCACTTATCCTCTTTACGCCCTTACATTTGTGTTGCAGCTTGAGAAAAATACCGATTCCGTGTATCGTCTTCGACCATGGCGCGATTTTTTTGCGTCAGCAAAGGGAATTATAGTGGCCCATTCTCAGGTACCTTGTCAGTTCTATCGACGCCGTCATTCAAGACTTCCCATGGTCAGTAAGCCAGCCTGACATCATAGCACTGAAGCGCTTGGTGCAGTGGATTGCCGGAAGAGCTAGCGCTAAATTTTGAATAAATGGGCGGACACAACTTCTGTGAGTTTACTCATCGGGCACATTTGCGTACCTTCGCGGATCAGAGTAGTTAGTAGTCTACTTGTAGCGAACCTCGATTATTTCGAGTAGGTTGTGGTGTTATTGGGCGCCTTGGTAGAGCGTCGTTGCCGATTAATGCAAGGACAGTCGAGAAAGCCGTAAAATTACTTCCGCCGGGACAGAGATGATCATTTCTGATGTCGCGGTCTAAGGAGCTCTACAGCTAGTTCTGGAACCACTTCCAGGGGCAGGAATGCATTCCGAAGGAACGAATAAAAGCTGAGGTCAAGAATTACGTTGACTGGACGAGCACGACCTCATTCGTGTTTATCGAAGCGTCTGAAATCCGCATTTGATTAATCAGAAGCCAACAGTCAGTCAGCTCTCGCGTGCGCTGTATCTTCTTCTGACCATGTTTACAACAAATGTCTGTGCCGCCTGTTGAGAGAACGACCCATCGGCTGTGTCCTCCTCCGCCATGGGTTGTGCCGACCTGAAGGCGATGTCACTAGAGACGTAAGCTCGCCTGATTTTGATCTTGGCCTGCGACAATGCAAGAATGTCCGGGTGCAGTAGTCGGTGAATGTCGAGAAAGAGGACCCCGAACGCGTCTCAGACGGCTTGCCTGACCTACGTCTAAAATGACCCTGGATAGGAGTCCTGGTGGGCTGCAGTTGATTTCACCCTGAAGCAGACGAACCAGTCATGATGGATGCTAGCATGAGCGAAAATTCTTTAGCTAGTGCTGACGAATACATAACAACTGTTAGTTATTCCTGCTGCACTAGTTCCTTCTACTAGATCGAGGAGTTGGAAGCAGCCCTCGCATCTATCACACATGTTTTAAGGACGCATACGGCCAAGAACTTGTTTGCTGCGGTTTACGTGTCAATATAGCGCATACACCTGGGCAGATATTTTACGTCACACATATTCTTCAGACTCTAAAAAACTTCGAGTTCCTCTCGCGGAGCTGTCTTTCTGCGGGTGGATAAATCCCTCGAAAAAATTTTGATCCCGGGAACAGGGTTAGCCTGCCTCTGGGAAGTCCACTGTCCCTATAACGGGCCACGCCGGCGAAGACGTTGAACGACAGACAGGCTGGGCCAGATCAGGGCACGGCACGTGGCGACCGGGTTATGCAGAGTCCGCGCATCCCATAACAAATGCCACCAACGAGGGGGTGCTGTGACATGCCTAGGCGCAGACTCACGCCAGAACAGTCACCTGCGTCCAATTCCAGCATCAGATGGCAGCGAACTGGTGCGTGGGAGTGGGAAGACGAGTTGAAGACGGCGGCTCCGTTGCCGTGGCATTTCGGGACATACCCCATCAGAGGATTTGATGCGCTTTGGAACTACCACGACGAGCCAAAAGTCAGGGTTTTGAAGGCCGTCAACTCCGTCCTTTTAGGGCAGAGAGTCGGACTGCAAGGACTCTTTCTGAATGGGGTCCGAGCCAGACCTTCGCTTTTTTGAAGGCGGGCCCATTATGCGCAGACCGGGTGTGCGGTGCGCGTACACCCGCTGCTAGGTTTATCAGCCCCTGTGCCCCATTCCGCCTTCGGCTGTTCTGACTTGTCACCGGGCCCGGGTGGATGAGGGAAGAGGGTGCGGAGGGTGCTTCGAAAGTCAGTCGTCACTTTAAACTAATTCACGCGCAAGTCACTGTCCATACGCCCGCCATACTGCGGGGCACGCGGTGGACATCGCCGTTTGCAACGGCCGAAATGACGGACTGTGAAGCGGGTCCACAGACAGTAAATAGTGTAGTCTTAGGTACAGGTTGACAGATCAGTGAGGATCATCTAAGGTTTGACGGGCAAACGACCGTCAAGTACGAAGTATGGATGACATCAAATGCAGTTGGTAATCGACCCGGAAGACTGATGGCACAAAAAGGCCCTAAAGCAAAACGGCAACACAACAGAAAATATGGCTTCGCCCAATTTCTCTTCATTTGCTACGTTGCTGATAATGTCGGAAATGTGAACACCATCGCTCCGTGTATAATTCGTTGTTGGGTACTTCAGTGTTTTTTCTGCACTCATTTGTAATACTAATTCCGTTTCATACTTGTTGCACATCGCGTGACCATATTACAAAAGTAATTGTACTCCATAAAATACTACCAAGAGCTGAATACACCACACAGGGCAGAACTCAAAACGACTTTCACAGAAGCCGAGTCCAGAAACCCACCAATGCAACGAATGCCAAGTATGCGAGCCGCGATACTTCGACAAAGAGAGGAAATCCGTGTTATCTGCTGAGACATGTGTGTCCCTCGAGGACGCACACTCTTAACGCCTACGCAATCGGCATCGTCTGTCCGACCGAAACCAAGCTGCCGGCATTGCTGCCACCTACTACAGTTGCAGCAGATGTGTGCGATTATTCCGGCAGACAATGCGTAGTATCGGAGATCCAGCAAAAAGTGAACAAAACGTTTGTGACGTGGGAGCTCTCTCCACTCCCACAGTCAGCAAAAACGCAAGTGCCAGTAGAAGTAAGATTGCTGTAGCGCGCAAATCAGATAGCAGAAGAATAAAAAAATCCACGATCACATACAAAAAGGGGGCCAGAGCGCCCTCGTCGGCAGTTTTAGTTCAGCGGACAGCTAAGTCCCCGGCAAGTGATGTTACAGTGACGGCCGACTTCGCGGCTCTATTGATGACAGTATGAAGCTGTGGAAATATCGATTTATTTAAGGTTGAATGGTGTAGGCTTTTGTACATTTTTGATTTGTTTCACTACACTTTCTTGTACATCTGACTTTCCTGTACATTTGTTTGACTAAACAGAAATACACGATAACAACTCTGCGGCGGTCAACGTGTGTTCTGATTTCTAGTGCGCTTGATGTCGTTATTTCTTGGCCTTCGCTTGTAACCTCTCAACATTCTTAGCAATTCGTATGAGCTGACAGAGACTCCCTCTTCACAAGCCTTCTTCACCACATCATCGCGGAACCGACTGCCTCTATTCAACCGGTTCCTCATCGGAATACTATCTCGCTACTTGAGAGGATTCTACTTTGTGTGGGTCTGGAGCATTCCTTTTCTGGTTCTTCGAATCTGTACATCCTGTTTTTTATTGGTAAACACAATCCCCCCATTTGGAGTTAGTTTATCCTGTATATATTACTGTTTGTAGTTTTTAAGTCCACGTTTCCACTACAATGATCGTTCACTGATCTGGTTGCGGTACGGAACATATTCGCCTGTTGCACCTTGGAGCTCAGTCTTGAATCCTTACAGGGAGTCGTAAGGCGACCAGCAACGGTGCTGAATAAATACTGGCCATTTCGTCGTCAGCCGGCAATTGCCTAGCCCCCAGACTAAACGATGCAGCACCCAAAACCTGACCCCTTGGTCACTGACTGCTAAGTCCAGATCAGTGAACGCCCCCCACCCCCACGCTAGTTGCTATCCTAGATCGAAATCAATAGGACAGTGGGCCCGTGACCTAATGTAGCAGCTGCTCCAGTCCCCCTTTTTCTCCGGCTCCGTTTAGTTGAACAATGGCCGCGACAGCTGTTGACACACAGCCACCCCCGCCGGCTAACACTCAGACACCCCCGGTCCAACTTCAGTGACTGTCGGCTGACCTCACAAACTTTCATCACCCCACGCGCGTCTAACGCCCTGGCCTGATACCCGTGAGGCATTTTGTGCATGCAGCCCTTATTCCTCCCCTAACTTGTCCAATCACACGACCACCACTCAGCCAGTCACCCCTCCTGCTGACCTAGGCACACTCCCGCATAAACAACAGACACACCGCGACTGACGCTCTCCGTGAACGGACGCTTTTCTCTGTTGCAAGCAAACCGCCAACTTACGGCAACCTGCCCTGTGTACAGAATAAACTAGTCCTCACAGCTCCCTGACTTCTGACAGTAGACGAAACGAACTTATTGTGCGTGGTTTAAGTCGATCTCACATCCTTGACCGCCACACTAATAATCGGGCGTCGGAGGTAACGCTGGACGACAGCCGAGGAAGCAAAGGTGAACATCCTAGTTTCGCTTGCCCTTTCCGGTATTCATTGCCGAGATTTAGGTAAGCAAACATCATTCAATTGAAGGGGTGATAGAAAGCAATGCGGACAGCGGAGGAGCCAGAATCAATGGTACTACATCGTTTGCTAACAATTTCTGTGAAGACCAACGGAGACTGACGTTAGCAGAGCAAACCTTAGCTGATGGCGAAATAGGGAATATTCATCTGCCTCTTCGAATGCGCTCAAAGGCAAGTCAACGGACGCAGGTTCTCTGAAAAACAGGGCTGTGCGAACGACCGGTACATGGAAAGGAAAATTTTGCGTGCTCAGCCCACACGACCTTCGTCGGAACGCGTGATGGAAGCTTAGTTTAAGACGATAACGCCCTCAACCTACAGAACCCAGAAGGAAGAAATCGCCGTGTACAACTGAGGCTAGCGGCGCGGGAGGCCCAGAGCCTCAAACGCGAATACTGCGGGAGAAAATACGGTCGAGTTACAAGTCATATTGGAGAATTCTCACAAAAATACAAAGTATTGGGATAAAACATAAGGGTGGGGACAGAGCACTGTTCAGACAGATTTTCCAGGTTCTGGATTGGTATTACTTGATTCTTTTTGACTGTAGTGACGATACTCTGGCTTCAGTTCCCACATGTGCTTATGTGGTGGCTTGGTGTTGAAGGTTGCGATTTCCTTCAGTAACTCGGTCAGGTAAGACTGAAAATAAAACGGAAGATGAACGAAAGACGGACGACTGGAAATGCAAAAACCACAACAGATATAAAAAGTGTTCTTCGAAACCTTTTTGACATAATAGAGGGGATAAAGATACGTACCATAGGTTGTTTGGTGAGAAGCATGAGGTCTTTAACCGCATAGTACTGGTGACGTTCAAATGCCTTAAAGAGGTCCTGCAGGACATCATCCCGTTCTCTGCGCACATTTTTGCCTTCCAACTTCTTCCGCTGCTCGTATTCAATCTGGAATTTGAAAGTATATAGATAAACTGGGACATTTGCCAAGATTGTGCGCGAAAATTGCCAGCTGCTGAAAGCTTTAGCATCAGCCTTTAAGTCGGCGAAGGACAACAATATAGCAAATAATATAACTCATTCCCCTGCATAAAGTTCCAATAGAAACAGAAAGTTCGTGCAGTTCTCTGAGAAATAGAGGCGTGACGCATTTTCATTTAATTAAACCACTCTAGGCTGATAATTTTACGAAATATAGCTGGAATTCTCGAGGCCAGACAATGGCCACTAGGCTTTACGAGTTATGATCATCACTGAAATCTTGAACGACAAAACAAGGTCCCGTTTGCAAATAAGGAATGAAATAAGGTCCGTGAGGTAGAGTTGTCCACAGGAAACTTACGTTAAATTCGTGATTGGCAACAGGTCTGTAATTCCTGACAGGCGTATCCAGAATACACACCTCATGTCTAGCTCTGTTTCTGGCCTTGCACTGAAAGCAGGAAAAAGCAAAAACAGTAAAAAAATGTCTACCTTCTGCAAAAGCCGAAAGATGAGTTAATAGAGAAGACGACAACATTTTAGAGGATTGAACGGCCGGGTCACCCATGTCCAAAGACCCCAATATAAATGGAATATAACTTTCCGTTCAGGTGCGGTATCCACTTTTGCCCTAGACTAGGAGTACAAAAACACGAACTTTGACTACATCAGACATGTTCTAATGGTTTGAAACTAAAACAGTAAGCCGCAGACTTAAACTTGCTTTCTCACCCATCGATATCAAAAAACGCAGCCAAACAACGGGCCACCCACCAGGGCAGCTGAATCCACAGCAAACATCAAATAACACGCAGGACGACAGCTGAGAACGTGTCTGAAACAATTCAAAGACGGTAATTAGAAGAATCTTGATCGCTCTATCCTTTTAATCATTTTTGAATTCAGTCTTTGGTGTGGTATGCTTTTGCACAGCTCACATAATCATCTGACTCCACGCTTTCGTCTTCTGTGTTGCGTCGCGGCCTGATATGTACAATGATGAGGTCCAACTAAGTATAGTGGTACTGTAAATATCGAATGAGGAGACTATCCCCAAGATTGATAAAAATCACTTAGACTTTACACGAAATGAAGGCGTGACATTCCTGTCAATAAAACAGTTCGTTGGGGAATCAAGTTTTGTGAAAACGTTTATAATACGATCGGTATAACTAATCAATCAGATCCAGGTTGTTTCACAGAGTTACGAGGTCGAAAACGACTGAATAGACATTTTCTAAGTTTGCGTTCAATATTATCGCAAGAAATGAGACTTCTAAATAAAGGGGATTAGGTACCTGCTGAGCTTTGAGCATCATGTACTTAGAGTTTGGCGGAGGTCGACACTCGGCTCGGCTGTTGACTCGGCCGAACAGGGAGTAGCGTCTCGTAACCCGGGGAAAAGATATGGAGGGATTCGCTGGGCTGCTACCACTGGAGGCAGGGACGTCCTCTTCGCAAAGAATGACCAGCTCCTGGCCGGACATAGCTGAAGAACGCTTAGAGTCACCGGGTCGTCCTCGGTTTCCGGCGGCCAATGAAGGGGTAGTCTGAATGAGGAACTGATGTTCCTGCGCGGATGGAAAAGCGAGTGGAAATAGGAGAGAAAGAAGCATCCACCAGTAAAGACAAGAAAAGCTGTTAACGGCCTTTTATTTCCTGATCCTGCAGATTTTTCTTCACACCTAAACTTACTATTGTCACCACTAAGCGAAAACTCGATACGGAATCAAAAAGGTCCAAACCGATATAAGTTCAGGGTCGTTGATTTTGGTGATTTGTACCACGGAAGGGAGAAAGCTCCTAAAAAGAAATCTCACGAGCGGCTGTAAAACAAGGTGCACGTACTTAAAAAGATATTCAAAAGGCCCCAAACGAGAAAATGTGGGAGCGTCACGGGGTTAGCTGCTAAGTGACCAATTAAACAAAAAATTTGTACTTATATGTTGGCATTTAAGACCAGCTGCCAGCCTGGAGGGCACGAAGACTGTAGATGCCAAAATTCGGCAAAAAAACATAAACCTCGACCATAAGAGAACCAGGATAGCGAAAGTGACCTAAAACCGTAGAATCTGCATCTCCACCGGTACGCCAGAGGATAACAACATGAACTAGTTAGTTAAAAATGGAGAGCACATACTGATTTTTTAGATGTGCGAACGACAGCGGTATTTAAAACGCGTAGCTCCAAATAAGGCTATTACTTTATGACGCTGCTTGGCTCTCCTAGTTGCACTCATTAAGCTATGGCCCATATGATATTAAGATGTCGCGCAGAAACAAACTCTTTCATCTTTATCAAACCCGCCACAAAACAAGAGGATTGACATAATTGCGCAGTCTGTCTGAATAGTCAGACGGGAGATCCCGCAACGTCCTGTAAAGCTGTTTTTTAGCGGTTGACGTCGTGCGCCTCTACAGTATGCTTGCCATCACAAAAGGTTTCTCTGATCATTGGAAGAAGACCTCAAAAACTCGGTTCACCTTTATATTCCAGCAAAATTTCCCGAAATTACCTTTATTCAAAACGCGTTCAAAACTGCAAACAGGTTCGTCCTAGAACACGTCGCGGGCAGGAAGGGCAACGAAAGTTGGCATTGTTCCAATGGAGAGCAGCTCATGGACTATCGGCCTGTTGGATAGCTTCAATAATGATACAATGAACGTAAAGACGACTAATACAGCCCAGAAATCCTCGAAATTATGGCAAGCCTGTTTTAGCCCGAGTCAGTCCTTTTGGTTGAAGACTTCTCTGAAACGTTTTCGTTCGCACTAGTGAGATGGGGCGATTGGAGAGACAGGTGAGCCTGTCGCGTTCACAGCTTCCTGAGACGGCTAACATTTAGCCTAATCGTAAGCAATGATGGTTCAACTGCACATGGTCACAGCAGCACGATCACAATTACACTTCCCGAAAGCGCGCGGATACAGCGCCAACTCGGTGAAGCATGCTCAGGCTAGGGTTTAGTTGAATTGATTCAGTGTGATCAGCAGGAACGTCAGATGGTTAGGTCTCCTAGGGAAGTGGAGTGTTTTTGACGACCACAGGGTTAACCGCAGCGCAATTAATAAGGGTTTATTATGCCACGTTGTCGGAGGACTCGCATCATGTAAACGTCGCCATTCTCTATACCTGCACTTAAAAAACTAAAAAATGACAAATTCGAAGAAAAATGGGCGCACACCTGACTACTGTATGGAACTCGTCACACAAAACCCTATAGTACATATAACCAGCGTCCAAAAGTAGGGCGTATGCCTCAGTAACTGCGATATTGATAAGGATGTCAAAAAGAACAACTAGTCCTTTGGTGACACTGGTTCACAGTGCACGAGTGAAGCTTTGACCTGGTTGCTGAGTTACCGCATTTCCCTGCAGACCAGCATACTCCATGATAAGAGTGCCTGGCAGAGTGTCATGTAAATTATGACCCGGCACGTCAGGAGACGTCCGCACTGAACTGTCGGGGTTCGTTCAATGAGGCTTTGCTTATTCTGTGGGAAGGAGGTCGTATGTTGTTACGTGACGTAAACGTGTTTCTTCCTGAAGTCACACGGCACAATAACCATCTGGGCTCCTGATCCGTTGGAAGTTCGGGATAAATTGTTCACCCGACGCAGGCGCGTTATTTCCGTATGAAGATCCCAGTATGCGCATCAGCGTGCGTCAGGTGGTCAACAGTAACGGCTAACACGTAGTCAGCATATTGATTGATTTCGGATTTCCAGAAAGACGAGATTGAGGGCTACCAATCGGTAAGAGAACAACCTTCACACCGAAATCCGAATCCAAAAAGAGGACACCTTTACTGCGGCAAGTACTCTTTTTGTTTTCCTAGGTCTTATTTGGAAGCTAACATGGTGCTCGACCCTTGACCAAGAAACATTTCGGTATTTGAATTCTCTCTACATAAGCCTGGACGTACTAAATTGATTATTGTATCGGTTTGTGTTTAGGTCTGCTCCACTAGGTTCGCTCAGCTGTCACTTTCGTCTAACGTTGTTCACGATATCTACACTGTACGACAGGCGCCATTGCCAATGTAGTACCCTACAGATCAGTTTTTTTGATTACGGCTCCACACTCAGGTTTTTTTCTGTGGACTTCTTAGTGGCCCCGTCTAGTTCCTGCCCATGCATGCCTTTGGAGAAAGGGACTTGATGCTCGCAACAATAAGGAAGTCCACACATATACGAATGTAAATGGTCAAACAAGCTTTGCTACTGACAGACAGTGCGTCTGGGCCACATGGATCGCAATACAATGTGTCAAGTGAAACTGCATACGCAAACTTATCTAAAGTGCACCCAGAATCTTAAAACTGCCACTTTAGGGCAACAAAAGGAAGTTATATCACGCACATACTTTTGGTATAAGGTTGCTGACTTCACCGGCTTCGACCGTAAGGGCATCATCGGTAACTAGTCGTACTTGGGATTCGGGCTTCTGGTCGCCCTTTCCTACAACGCCAGGCGCCGTAGAAATTACAACTTTGCCGACTGGCCCATCGGAACTCGAATTTAACCACAGATCGGCCAAATAATTTGGGACTTTAACTAGCCACACCCCATCCTTTGCTCTACTTGTGTCAACGGCGTAGAGAGGGTGTGCATCTGACGGATTATCGACAGACGAGCTCATTAAACCAGTAACGAAAACCTGCTTAAGAACAGCCGAGCACCATTAATAAGAAAGTAATGGTAAAGAGAAACAAACGGGCATAAAAACGAAGTCAGAAAAAACCGATTTAGTCAATATGTATGCATGCGTAAAGAAAAGGTAAAGACAAGATAAAGCAAGTTCAGCTGGTTACCCAACTAAAAAATTTTAGAATTAAGAATTTCCGGTTGCCCCTAACAAAGACTTCGCTAATTCGCCACCCTAAGCCAAGTATGAATTGTGGAAACCAGGCCGGCATGAAGTATCCAAAATGTGAATGAACGAGCGAGCCCAATGTTTTGTAAAAAGGTTGCTTAGTGTATTAGCTGGGGCTTCTCATTCTTATGAGAATATGCCGCCAACTTTTGCAGCAGCTCTAAACTTTAATGCGATGGTGGTAATTTACCCAAAACAATAATTTCTGAATTGACACCTGGCACGTTTCACGAAACTGCATGGTCTCCTGCTTCTGTGTGTGGACAAACTTCTTGGTTTGACAATAGATTGGATGGGAGTAACTGGAGTTACAGTGTATCCACATCTAGCTAATAAAGGTCGACCCATTCGAAATTCAATCACGTTTATCCTGGCTGTAATCATGGTCGGTCCTCCGCTTCAAAATTGTTGTCTTTTGGAGGCATTAGGCTATTGTTTAAAACTATCTTTGGAGAGTTAATGACATAGAAACGAGAGAGATACGACAACACAGCACATATAATAGGCCAAGACTTATGCTTAGCCTTTATTTGAATTAGAAGCCCATGAATTGCTAAGCCTAAAATTATTTTATCTGCTGGACAACGCAGAGAGAGACTACTTTACTGGCCGTTCGGTTGACGTACAAGACCTAAATTGACGAACTCACCGCTGCCTATTTCCGTTACCGGTGCAGATGATTTTGCCGCGCCCAAAGAGTTCGTTCATCAGCTGGGAGATCCAACAGCAATGGCCTCTATCTCTTCAGGAGATCGTTCATATGAAAACGGGGTATTTGTGAATGTAAAGCCCAATTGTGCATCGTTTTACATACGTCTGTCTCCTTTTCTCTCACATCCTGCGCTGACTGACCGTCTCTAAACTAGAGACGTGAGGGGACTCAAGCGTAGAAGACCTGTCCTTATCGTAAGTATTCGAGGAATCAGAATCGTGAATGCAGCTGCCTGATGACGTCGAAGATGATGTGCCCAACGACCGCATTTTCCTCACCTTTTCGTTGACTTTTTTGTGCCACCTTTATGCTTCCCTGCGTGCAGGAACTTGGTAGTTTCAGCATAGTTGTCACTAAATGGCAAAAAATCAGTTTGGCAAAAAAGGTACAGTTAGTCAATGAGAGGCAGGAACGGCGTGCACACTCAAATGTGAGGTAGTAGGAAGTGACGCCAAAGGAGCGTGAGTATAACCGAGCATCAGAGCGAACTGGTAAGTAAGTGTAAATGCATGCAGTCGTTTGAACCCTTCGCACTGACAACGCAGCGGAACTGCCAACCAATCAAATTATGAGCTGGCTGAAGCCCCCTACCTCTTTTCGTCCGTCTTTGAGCATGCCTGTTTGGGAGTAAAAACTACGAAAGCAAGCGCAACGCAGCGCATGATTCGAATCGACTTTAGAACGGCTGTTTCACAATGTTCGAAGGTCAAAATGGTCGAAGGTGCCCAGACAACTAGATTCTTGCGCATCACCACTTCTCTTGGTGGAATCCAATCCATAGCGTAATACTGTCGTGATAAATGTCTCCAGCCAGCATCCACGCGTAAGACTACACATTAGGATATAGAAAAATTTGAAGCCGTTAGTTGGATTACGCAGAGAATTTATTGTTCTTTTCTTAAAGCTCCTGTGCGTCGTCAGCACAGTTTATTGCCTCCCAGTTCTTCGTGTCATCCGCACATATAATAGCGTTGCATTTAAGATCTTCAACACAGTCGTTTATATAGATGGGGGACAGGAAAGTACCCAAGACCAAATTCTGGGGAACACCTCTCTTTACTGGTATCCATTCGGATGCATTGCTGCAAATAAACACATACAGGTCCCGCAGTTACCATGGGCCAAAGCCATCAAGCCAGCCACCCGCATGTAATTAACTTCGCGGTACCTACCTTCTCCCGGACTCTGACTGGAATTGTGGTGTTTCACTCTCCACCCCCTCCGCTCCCCTCTCCAAACCCGAGCTACAGCTTGATTTTCTACTTGCACGTGTCTTTTAGTTCATTACCACAATAGCCATATAAATGTACAGGCCTGAAGAGAATTTATCGAATGCAGACGTATGCTCGCCAAATTGCCTTTTTCAAATAAACATCCTTTACAGCCTGGATGACAAGAAACTTTAATCCGCTTAAAAATGTTAGAATCCGTTAGACAAGTTCGCCTAGACCCTAACATAGCCATTTTACTCGCAGAAGTCGTCAGTGAGGTACACTATAAAGAGCTTTTTCTAGTTGAAAAAGTGGACATCTATTAGATGCACTGGGTTAGGCTTGCTTTCATGATCTTTACTCCCGAACATTTTGCGAGGATTTTTGGTACTTACTAGAGACCGCATTTGGAATATGAAATGCCAGCTTGAAAGCATTGGGCAAAGAAAGACAGTGACCCCATCGAGCAAGCTCAAGGACGGAAAAAAAGACTGATGTGCGGTCTTAGGCCGCTTTCATAACCAGAAAGACTGGTCAAGACGAATTTTCTTCCTCTTACTTATGGAGAAATGAGGTTCAAACTGCTATGACCATCCCGCATTATCCGCGGACAGGACTGTCCGTCGAAATATGAAGATATCTTCGAGGTTGCGAATACAGGTTAACTGCGCGACCAACCCTGCAATATCAAACACGAATGCATGCGCACAGGCCAACGGAAATTTTCTTTTACTCCGCAGGTAGTTCGACTATGGAATACCTCATTCAGCACATAAAATTCGGAACAAGGATGAGAGAAGGACAACGATCTAACTGCTTAGATCTCGTTTTCAGTAAAGAAGAAGGACTCATAAAGGAAGTGAATCCACAACCTCCGCTCGGTTTAAGCGATCATATTGCTTTTACCTGCGTGCGCTCTCTCCCATCCAACCAAAAACCAAACAACAAGAGGCGCAGAAATATTTGGAAGGGTGACTTTAACGCCATGAGACGCACTCTCTTGGAGGAAACCTGGTTGGTCAACACAGAAAATTCAGACGAATTCTGGCAGTACTTTCGCGGGATTATAGAGCGTCTAATTGAGTCCCACTGTCCAATAAAAATGACAAGACTATGTTCGCGACCACCGTGGGTCAATCCGACGACAAAAAAGACCATGAAGAAGAAACAGACTCTGAAAAAAATATTTGCAACTTCGAGATCCAAGGTCATTCGCCGAATATAAGGATCAGCGCAATAAATGCCGCAAGCAAATACGGACTGCTAGAACTTCTTTTGAGCGCCAACTGATAGCAGAATCCATTTATGTCCCAAGAAGTTTTACGGGTACATCCGCAGTAGGAGGAAACATAGGGACGAAATTGCGTTTGTAAAGTATAGCCTCGGAAACTTAGTAGTTGAAGGGCCACAGAAAGTGCGATTACTATCTCAGTTTTTTCAGTCGGTTTTTACGGAGGAGTCCCTAGAAGACAATCGGAAGTTTGAAATGTACCGAGACAGCCGGGAGCTTCTAATGCGTCAAAATATTGCTTTTATTAAAACCGTCGCCTTTTCCGTGGAAGAAGTCAGACGAGTCCTCTGTCAAATAAAACCTGATAAGTCCCCTGGACCCGACGGAATTCCCGGGCTGATACTTAAGGAGCTATCAACGGAGCTGTCAAAGCCTCTTTCGACTCTCTTTGAGCTGTCGATGAGAACAGGAAGGCTGCCCTCACAGTGGAAGAAAGCTAACCTCGTTCCATTGTATAAGGGAGGTAGCAAGATGACCGCAAACAGCTTTCGACCTATTAGCTTAACTTGCCTCCCTTGCAAAACGATGGAAGCTATAGTAAAGAACCCTATACAGCAATTTTGTGAAGAAAATAACATCTTGCAGGATTTTCAACATGGCTTCCGGAGAAGCCGTTCCTGCCTCTCAAATCTGCTAGCTTGTCTGGAGATCTGGACCAGGGCTCTAGAAGAGGGTTTTGAGATGGATGTCGTATACATCGATTTCCGCAAAGCTTTTGACACTGTCCCGCACCAACGTCTTCTGCACAAATTAAGCGCCATCGGCATCCGGGGAGATCTTCTGAACTGGATTAGGGCGTTTCTGGTTGGTCGGAAACAACGTGTCTGTATCGGGGATGATATGTCAGAATGCGTGAACGTGACCAGTGGCCAGAGCCAACCTAAGAGGATAAATCAGCATGGTCAGTTTACAGAAAAGATTAAATTTTACTAAAAATGGTTGTATTTTTAAGTACTCAGAGAACCAGAGGCCAACTGTTAAAGTGCTAAGATGGGAAATAGACTTTTTTGTATGCGAAAGACGTCATTACATTCCTTACCCGAGAAAATGCCATCAAGCCTTATCAAAGATATTGCCGGCCTCGGCCACGATCGAAGGTGTTCGGTTAATTGCACGAACCTACACGTCTTTAAGAAATACGACTTTCTGACTAAATTAAGATAGCATGTCAAGGAGATGTGCTTCTTCGGTATCTTCGGTGCTAATTCTGCTGTGATAACTATACGAGGTCTGGGTCATTGGTTGTAAAAGTCTTGCTACCCAGCAGACCTTTGCGCTGCAATTTTCTCAGCGATCGAGTCAGTTAAGTTCAGTAAATTTGCGAGGACATAGGCTTATGCATTTGAACTCCATATTTGCAACTTACAGATCAGAAGGACTAACAATAATTTAGGGAAGTTACAGCTACGAGCTAAAAAAGATCTGGCTTCATACAAATGGATATATTTTGGGGTTACATATTTACATATTTCGCTTATTGGCATACCATGTACCATTTAAGGCGATGCTTAAATGATTCTACAGGCTAAGACTCAGCAGTTGCATCGGGCAG